CACCTAGCATCTACTCCCCCTCCTCCCAGCTAGCATCTATCCCCCCCAGCTAGCATCTATCCCCACACACACACCCCAGCTAGCATGTATCCCCGCCTCCTCCCAGCTAGCATCTGTCCACATAGACACACACCCCAGCTATCCTGAGTCACTGAGGGTCCTCCATCCTGGAACTGCTTCCCGTTGCTTCTATGACATCTGAAGCTCCACTCCTCCATCCCTCTGGATTCTAGCTCCCCTTGCACCACCCATCCTTCACCTGTCCCTGTCTAAACACACCTGCCCCACACTGGACCTTCTTGCCCAGACCTGCTGTTCACGGGCCACAATCCCAGCTCTCCTGGACTTTCCGGAGCCTATGCTCAGGTACCTACCTGATGCCACCTCCGAATGTCATCATATCACCAGCATGTCCAAAAGTGAACACTGCCTCCTCCCTAGCTCTGCCCCTAACACGCGTTATTCTCACCTCTAGCGACTGTTACCCCAGTAAACTGGGTCACTCGACGTCCCCTGCCCTGTGCTAGGTGGCCTGGGGTCCGCAAGGCAGCTCGGCCCCGCTTTAGAGCACCTTCAATAAGGACAAAGTCTACCGTAAGTGACCACAGGTGCCACAGTCTGTCTACCCATTCAAACCACAAGTCTGCGCATCACGTGAGGACCCTCTGCTGCCCCGGGACCCTGCTCCGAATGGGAATGGCTGCGCGCGCGGCGGGGGCGGGGCTTGCGCTCTGGGCTTGGGATTGGGTAGTCCGGCCGGAAGGGGGCGGTCTTCTAGCCCGGAAAGGCCCGGACTTCCTGGAGGCGGCAAATCCGGAGGAGCCGCTGTCGCCTTCATGCTGCCCGCGGACTGCTCGCGCCGGTGAGACCCGCGCGCAGGGAGGGAGCGGGGCGGGAGGGGGCGCGGCGCGAGGCCGGCCGGGGTGCTAAGCCGCCGGTGCGCCCCTCCCAGGCTGGTGGCCGAGCTGCGGGACGCCCTGGACGCCTGCGCTGAGCGACAGAGGCAGCTGGAGCGGAGCCTGCGCGTCTCCCGCCGGCTGCTGCGGACCTGGTACGCGGACCCCGAGACCGCCCGGCCAGGCCTCCCTCGGGTCCTGGGAACCCCCCTCGGAGCCCCCGGACTGGGGGACCGCCGCAAAGCCAGGCGGCCCCTTTGGGGTCCCTTGCGCCTGAACCCTGCCTCTTGGCCGTGCCACGACTGTACTGTGAAACTTCGCAGGGAACCAGCCGAGACCCCGGCTCCGCAGCCAACCCCAGCGCCAGAAACCAGTGGAGAGGCTCCGTCTCCGGGTAAACTTCCAGCACCCACCTTCTCCTGGTGCCACTCCTGCTCTGTTTTCCGGACAAGCAGTGGTGAGTGACCACTGCACGCATGGGTCTTTGGTTTTTGCAGAATCCACACCCAGCCCTCAAGACCTCAAGGAGCTGGAGCTTCTGACCCAGGCACTGGAGAAGGCTGTACGGGTGAGAAAAGGCATCTCTAAGACTGGAGAGAGACACAAGGCCCTCAGCCTGAAGTCTGGGTCCGCTGCCCCTTCTGCCACCACAGCCTCTGCCCCGTCCCAGGCCTCCGGCCAGGCTAGCTGTCGAGTCTCAGAGACAAAACCCCCCAGGGGCATCCAGCAGACTGTGGTGCCTGCTAGGGGCCTCCCTGAGTGCAGGCTCCTGTCAGTGCGGGATCGCACCCGTGTGGGGAGAGGATCCCGAGCCATCAAGCCTGGACCAGGCCCCAGGGACCAACAGATACCCCCATCGGCTGCTCTTCAAGCCCCAGAAGCTTTCACACTGAAGGAGAAGGGGTAGGTTTCCCAGACTCTTCCTGGAGGAACTGTTGTCTCTTCTAGATCAGACCCTGGCCAGCAGCAGGAGTCTGGGATGTGGGGTGACAGGGAGGACAGGGCATTGAGCCCGATGCGGGCCAGGGGAGCCTCCAGAGTGCCATCCCATGAGACCCATGCCCCAAAGCTGGCAGAATGCAACATCACTAGGGCCTGTCCAGTAACCTGTTCTCTCATCCATATAGCCCAGGGGCTCCAAATGGGCTCTGCTCCTGGTTCCCTCTCTTCTCTCTGCCAGGGCAGACGTGGACTGCTGGCTCCCACAGCCACTCTGGAAGCCCTGTTCGGGGCTTGAGGGGGGCAGCCCCCAGAGTGCGGCTTCTCTGAGCACTGGCTTCCCTGACAGGATCCTGCTGCGGCTACCCATGGCCTACAGGAAAGCGGCTTCCCGGAACTCCCGGTAAGGCTGAGTGTCAGCTGGGTGGGGCTGGTAGGGGAGACCAGGGAAGTGTGGACAGCGGGGAGGCCTAGGCTTCCCAGCAGTGCAGGGCCTCCTCGGTAAGACTTTTCCAGCAGGCCCCTCTGCTTTGTTGGCTGGGTGGGACACTTTCCGAGATCAGCTAGGACTGCCCTCATGACCTTAGACTGCAGGCTTTGAAGCTAAGAGACCCCGGGTCCCCATTTGTCTTCTCTGTGGAGCAGAGAATGATGGTATCAGCTTCAGAGAGGTGTTGTGAGGGTTAAACACGGCAGTGCCTTTCAAGTGTGTGCTGTGCCTGCACCCCGAGTTCTTTACCACTGTCCCAGGGAGGCTCCGGTACCAGTCGCTGCCAGCCCCTCTCCCCTTTGTCCTTGAACTGTCTCTGGGTATTTCCCAGAGTACGTTGGCTCTGTCGTCTCTTCGTGGACAGTGTCCTCTCAGTTTTCCAAGGCCTCCAGAGGTCCCTCCTGGCTTTCAGCAGAGCCAGACACCCCTACCTGGGGCCCCTCCCTGGCCCTTCCCTGCCTCCTGAGGCCCAGCTGGATGGCATAACTGCATCCCTCTCTGGTTCCCGGGTGCCTGTGTGTCCATCCCAGCCTGTGGGCCCAGCTCAGCTCTACACAGACCAGTGACTCCGTGGATGCCGCTGCCACCGCCAAAACCCAGTTCCTCCAGAAAATGCAGATGACTGTATTCTTGCCGGGCTTGTGGGACCCTCCACGGTGGGGGTGGGGGGTGGTCCTGGCTCTGAGCCTGGTGAGTTTCAGGAGCCACTCCAGGAAGGGCCAGAGCCATTCTGGGGCCCTGTCCTTGGTGGGAGGGGAAGGGGGGAACCTGGCCACAGAGCAGTTTCCCTGACCTGTGTCCAGTCCGGCGGGCCCGGCTCTGGGCTCAGTGCTGCAGCAGTGGAGGCCGAGGTGGGGCTCCTGCAGACGGCCTGTTCGCTGCTGAGACGGCGAATGGAGGAAGTGCTCTCAGCAGGTCAGTGGGCCCTGCTGCGTGTCTTGGGCCGGGGAGGGCTTGGGACTGGCGTGGACCTGACCTATGCTCTCCCTTGACTTTTGCATAGACCCTGCTGACTGCATGCAGGAGTACCGCTGCCTGCTTACCCTGGAGGGGCTGCAGGCCATCACGGAGCAGTGTCTCCACAGGCTGCAGGAGCTGCGTGCAGGTGAGACCCCCTCCCCACCGACACACACACTCTTCAGTATGTGCTGAAGTCTTGTCAGTGGTCGAAGTCCTGGAGCCAAAACGCAGCATTAACAGCTGCTCAGGAGCAAGGACACTCAGGGCAGGTCCTTTCTGGAGCCCCCCCCCCCCCCCCGAACTGTCCCACGAGACCAGCCAGAACTGCCCCCCCCCCGCCCCTCCCCTGACGGGCCCTGGCTCTGCGAACAGTCGGCTTATTTTCCTAGTCACTGAGGGTGGCGTGTGAGAAGCAGAGACATACCGGCCCCTGGCTTGCTTCATGTCACTAGAGATGATTTTTTACAGATAACGAGGCTTCGTCTAGGAGGCAAACCTTTGACTTTGCACTGCCCCCACCAAAGGCAGATGGGGAGGAGGTCCCTGGCTGCCACCCCACGAGTCCACCTCCCCCTGCCTTCACAGCAGTGGTGGGACAGCAGCTGGGGCCGTGGCCTGTGGGGAGACGCCCCGGAGCCTCACTGCCCTGCGGAGGAGGAACAGACCCTATCTGGAGCCCCCAGCTTCTTCTCTACTCCAGCACCCAGGAGTTGCAGACTCTAGAGGCCCTGAGGCTGCGGGTGGCCATGCTGGACCAGCAGATCCACCTGGAAAAGGTACTTCCGGAGTAGGGGCGTGGAGACTGGGCGACGGGGGAGCCGTGGGCTTCGGTCCATCTGAAGATGGGGCTTCTGGGCTTGTGTGCATGCTGACACAGCATTGGCCCAGGGGCAGAGCTTTAGAAGGTGGGAGGGGCTGGAACACATGCCTGAAGCCCGCCCTGGAATTGCCTCAATTCAGGGCCTTCTGTGAGCCCTCCCCGGACAGGGCCCGGGCCCGGGCCCTCCTGAGATCTTAACTCTTCATTACCCCTCAGGTCCTGATGGCGGAACTCCTCCCCCTGGTGGGCACACAGGGGCCACACTGGCTAGCGCTTTGCCGAGCTGTGCACAGCCTGCTTTGCGAGGGAGGGGAGCGCTTCCTCACCGTCCTTCGAGATGAACCTGCCGACTGAACCTTTCCCGTGGCCAGCTGCCACCCCCGAGCCCCGTTCCCAGGCCTCGGGACCCTGGCATGAGGGTGACCTTGTTCGGACACTGAGACTCTTGGGAGACCACTCCCTGCCCCCCACTAGTTAACAGGGACTGAGAGGATTTCCGATGCAGAGATGGTGTACCCACCCTGGTAAACCAGCTTTCCCAGGTGGGTTGAGGACAGTCCCCTGGCTCTTCCTGAGGAACCCAGGGCCCTTCTCACAGCAGCTAAAGCGGGTAGTCAGACCTCTGCTTGGCTTCGCCTTCCCCAGGCTGAGACCGGAGGCCTTTCTGGGGCTTTTTGTAGTACTTCTGTTTCTTCTCGCTTTAGATCTATAAGCCACTTGTGTGACATTAACACTACTTTAGCAAGTACGTATATTGAAATCACACTAAGATGGGACTTGATGCGTGTTTTTGCTCACCAAGACGCATCAGGTGTATTCACTGAGAACACGTACTGAAGGGAGGGAAAGGCCACTGAAGGCGAGCAGGACTGGGGACTTCTGCCAGCATTGGCCCCAGCACACCTGAAACCCCTCCCTCCAATCCCCTAGACTGTACTGGGCTCATGGGAAAACACAAAAGCCACAAGCCTATACCAGAGTGGGTGGGCACCGCGTGGCATCTGTGCTCACCAACCCCACAGCTGTTGCTGTGGCCAGCGTGGGCACCCTCCCCCCTGCCTCCCCTGCTGAAGGAATCCTTGCTTTGTGGAACAAAAAACAACTTACAGGTCAAGGTCACGACCTCTGGGTTTAAACCAGTCACAGGGTTGGGCTTACTCTTAATTGCTGCTGTGGGACTTTTAGCAAGATTCTCAAGGGCCCAGTGTTGTCCTCACTGTCATTCTGGGGTTAGTTGTTGGGAGAGGTAATTGAAGAGACGTGACCACCCGTTGACCCGTGAGCTGGATCTGGGCGGCGGGAGGCTCCTCGCCCCCTCCCCTGTCCTCGGAATGTGGGTTCCACTTGCCTCATCACTCCCAGGGGCTGCTCCGAGGACACAGCCTTGAGGTAGTGATGTGATACTTTAAACACCTGCACGGGGTACACGGCTGAGCCCGCTGAGGGCCTCCCGCGACATCAGCCTTTAAGCTCTGGCGGGCGGGTGCCGCAGCCCAGGACACATCTTGTAGGTGAGGCCCGTTTGCTTGTTGACCCCGCCACCCGCCCGGCTGGAGTGGCCTGCCTCCTTCTTCAGTCTCTCCCTGCCCTCTGCACGTGGGGGC